AAAAGGGGGGGGGGGGGGGCTTTAAGGCGCGCGTTGTGGAATCCAATTTGCAAAGTGTTGGACCGGCTCTTTGCGCTTCGAGTCCCTCTTTTCCGCGCTAAAGCTTCGCTTCGCCAGCGCCCCATGCGAGCTGCAGCCTGCGAGGGCGTCCAACGCGCTTCTCTACGCGAGATGCGCTCGGCTCGTGCGCGCATCTTTCCCCCGCCGCTGTCAGATCCTCATTTTAACACACTCGCTTCCTCCAGGTTTGCATCGGCAAGCGTGGGCCCGAGGTAGCCGGCGAGCGAGCCAGGTTTAAAGGCGCATGCAAGGCCTCGTTGGCGCTCATCTTTCCCCCGCATCCGCTTCACCACCCTCTTCTAGCGCCATGTGGACGGCGATCAATCCGCATCCTCGCGTCTCGGACGTGGACGTGGCGAGGTTCGACTACGCCGCGTATGCGTGGCAGGACATCAAGGTCGAGTTGCGCCCGGATGGCGTCGCGATCGTATGGCTCGACAGGGCCGAGCAGTACAACACCTTCACCGGGCCCATGGCCTTCTCGATCGTGTTTGCCTTCGAGCTGTTCGACGCCGACGACCGCGTTCGAGTTGCTGTCATCACCGGTGCGGGCGGCAAGGTGTTCTGCGCAGGCGCCTATCTCGCCCAGGGGTTCGGGGCCATTGCTGACCACGCGCAGGGCCATCGCGATGGAGGCGGCCAGGTCGGGCTTGCCATCCTGCGGTGTCGCAAGCCGTCGATCGCCGCGATCAACGGAAACGCCATCGGCATCGGCGTCACCATGACGCTATCGTGCGACTTTAGGCTGGTCGCAGACAATGCCAAGGTGGGCATTCCCTTTGTCAAGCGCGGCATTGCGATGGAGGCGTGTTCGTCCTACCTCCTGCCGCGACTGGTGGGCGTCTCCAAGGCGATGGACATCATCCTTACGGGCGAAGTGCGTGCTCCTAGCGATGAGAGCTATGCGGCGCTGTGGACGCGCGCGCCCATGCCGCAGAACAAGGTGCTCGACGAATCGCTCAAACTCGCCACCAGCCTCGCCCAGAACAGCGCGGTATCCATGGCACTCTGCAAGGCGCAGATGTGGAGACAGCTCGACTCGCCCGAAGATGCGCATCTGCTCGAAAGCCAGGGCATCTGGGAGACAAGCAGGCTCGACGGTCTCGAGGGCGCAAAGAGCTTCCTCGAGAAACGCAAGCCCGACTTTCCCGGCACCATGGCCGACCTGGACCGATTCGCCTTTTGGCCCTGGTGGAAGCAGACCGAGGTCGCAAAGTACCCGCGTGGACCCGAATCGCTGCGTGCCGCAACCGCGCTCGCAGCCAAGAGCAAGCTGTAGCGTCCTTCACTCTGCCCAACGATCCACAATCGAGTACGGTATTTGCAGGTTTGTTTCGAGCTGAGGGGCGGGCGGTTTAAAAGTACAGTGTGTGCGTGTGGATGCAATGACAGAGAGATAGAGAGAGAGAGGGAGGAGGGATTCAATTCGCCGCTTCGAAGCGGGCCTTGCTGGCGGCAAACAGCAGCTCCTGCTGACGCTGCAGCTCCTCCTCGCTCATACCGGACTGTTCCATGCGGGTCGTCTTGCGCTCTCGGTCCTTCTGGGCCGCCTTGTGTTCGGACAGCACGCTTTTCGCCTCTTGGATGAAGCCTGGGAAGCCGAGATCGTCGAGCGCCTTGAGCACGTGTTCCGGCGCGATGGTCTTCTTCGAGTCCCTTTCGCACACCTCGTTCGCCTCGGACGAGAGCAGGTGGATGAACTCGACGCAGCACTCGATCAGCAGGTCGCGCGTCTCCTTGCTGCACGTCACCTCCTTGGGCAGCAGCTCCGAAATCAGCTTCTGCACGGTGGCCTTGGGCAGCGACAGCTCGTCGTCCACTGCCGCCGCGCCTGCCGAGCCGAAATGCTCGTCGTCGGACATGGGGCGGCGGATATTCGTGTTCGAATGTGTTAGACCGACGTAATTTCTTGACCCGACCGATTGGCGGTGCGCGGCAAAGAAGAGAGGACAAGGAAAATTGGGAGGAGCGGCCAGGGTTGCGGGGCGAGCGTGGAGCGGATCCAATTCGCTTTTATTGCCTCGACCAACGAGTGCATGGCCCGCCCGCACCCACGCATCCCCGACCGACGCGTCGAGCCATCCCTGGCCCTCAGCGCGCCTGCGCCAATGTGCAGCAGAGCCGACGTGTTGGCCCGGCCTTTCGAGGCGCGCAAAAAGAATTTTTTCTGCAAAACAACCA